GTCCCGTCTCGTCTCCCCGGTTCCATCGTGCCATTAGACGATTCCATCTCTCGCAAGAATGTTCGCAATAATGTTACAAGCGTGACTGCGGGCTGGGGGACAAAGGTAGATAGGTAGGTGGAGGTAGGTAGGGCGTTGCAAATGTGCCCGATCTTATTAGCCGGATAGTTCTTTGGAGGGTGAAGTGCCGGAGCAAGGATTTTTATCGCATTACCGCCGGCCGGGAGAGGACGTATCAAAGCGAGTCGGTTAATCGAATTAAAGGAGGGGCCCGATATAATTTTAATGGGCGCCCGTTAACGAGATGGAGGACGATTTCCTCTCTCTTTCTTTATTCCTTTTTTTTTTCCCCTCTTCCCGTTTCCTCCACCGCGCTTCCGTTTCCGTTCCTTCTTCTCCTTCTTCTCCTATCGGCTCCTCTTTAAGAAGATACCACGCGCACGTCACGTTCCCCGGAATCCCGCAATTAAGATCCACGCTTCGAGAGATTCTCCAATCTTCTACTCGATCTCTCGAACGAGATTTCAAGATATGTCTCTGGATGGATTTCTAAACAGTTCAACGGTGGAATTATATATAAAGCGAAGTTCATATCGAGTTTAGGGAAGATTAGAATTGGAAAAAATTCTATTTATTCTCGCGTAGAATATTCAGTGTAATTTTTACACGAGAATTTCGAGTTACGATGGAATCTGTCGTGATGACTTCGTAGTTCTTTCTCTTTTTTTTCGCGCGTATTCTCGATCAACGTTCTCCTCGATTTCGCAATTGACGCCGAGGATCGTTATCAATCATTAATGATAATTTGTCGACAATGCGGTGAAATTCGTCGGGGTTTCGGAGGTCCGGCTCGTCGATGACCGTGAGATTAACTTCCGCACGTCCCCTCTAAACATCGCGCTCGAATCGATGCCGAAATTAATGCCATCGGGTTGCTTTGATAGGGGAATATCGCTGTGCCCGCGCGTGTGCGCGCCCGAGTTGTTGGACGAGTTCCAAGCGTGCAACGAGTCGACAATAGCCGCCCATACAGTTTTCGAATTAATCCACGTGGCGCCCGTTCGCCGTGATGGCAAACTGATATTCGTGGAAAGTTAGCGGGCTTCGAGCACGAGTGCCGCGCGCTTTTGATCAAGGAACGACAATTTTATGACGGATAAAATATTTGTTTACGAGGTGATAACGTGGAAACGAAGAAACGCGATTTTAGAGATTAAATTCGAGTATTCCCACGATGAGATTGAAACGTATTGAAAAGAGAAGGAATAATTGAAGTTTATAAAATGTAATTTAATTGAGGAGATGTTTCGGATCAAGATCTCAAGTTTATCGATTTTCCTTTTCGAAAGTCGAAAGTCGTTTTTATGAAACGTATCCTATAATAACTAATGACCTACTGTGCCGAAATCTTGCGAACCTATCTTAAACCTACCACTGCTGCGAGCACAAGCGTAGCACGAAAACAAGTCTACTTTATCGTACACTCTTGGGACCCACTACTACCCACGGCCATGCAATAAATCCGGGAGTTCCCGAGTCCTCGGAGCTCCGCTAAAGAAAAACAGATTTCTCGAGTTAGACCTCCCCATAACACGTATCTCGGCTCCCGGAATTCCGTTACTAAAGATTTCACGGAAGATAAGTCGAAAATTTCATTTCGAGATATCCCTCTCCCCGTTTCTTCTTCGTTGAAGAAGAAACGTCACTATTATCGCAAAAGATGGAAAAGGAAAAGGAGGAGAAACGGAATAAAATGGGAAGAAAAATCAGAAAGATTCTCAAGAACCGATTTTATTCTCGAGAGGAATAATTTTCCATGGAAAAATCCCGAAATCCATAGCTAGTTCCCATAGACCACAGTGGAGGAACGAACGATCCTCGAACAGATCTCGAAATACCAGGATCAAACTATTCAACGCCGTTCGTTGAACACTGGGTATTGCGCATATTGCGTCGGCCAGAATTCGGTATCGCAGCCACTTTACCCTAACATCATCTTCCGCCGGTCCACTTTTTCCCCCCTCCTTCCTCCTCGTTCCATTGTACGCCTCGTATCCGTAAGCGGGCTGACTGTACAACCCTCCCCGCTACGTTTGCCTACGTACACGCTATGGCTATGAAACGAGGCGAACGATGGAATATAGTCGAAAATATAGAGAGAAAGGCAACGACGAGGGTATGCGTGTAGACGGCCTCTGTGGTAAGGGACGACACGCTGGAGGGAAGGAGAGGAGTCACGGGATTTTCGAGCTCGGTGGAACTGGTATACGACTGTGATAGTCCGTTGCATATTTCAGGATCCACTCTTGAAGCCGAACTCTGGTGGCGAGAGAGAGAGAGAGAGAGAGAGAGAGAGCGGGAACGACAATTTCACTGTGCTCGATCCTGTGCCAACTTAAGCGATGATTTTACTCTCCCGGCCTCTGTGAAAGAGGGAGTCTCTCGAAACCACTGTCCGTGACTTAACTCGTCTCTAAACGGTGCCATTACCACCATAAGCGAAGTGTCGCCGTGGCGTGGATGATAAACGCGAGCCAACCAATCCCCTTCGTCGTTTCTTCTTTGTCTAAAGGATCGCTTTGTCGATCCTCCGCGGAATTAACTATTAGTGGCTTCGAATCGCGGTCGATATCGTTTCAATTTTATCGAGTTATTCTTCTTTCATTCTTAAAGATGAGTTAATATAAATTAACTCGTTGATACTTTAAGCGAGCATTTTCTTTCGATTTTTATTTTCGAGGATATTTCGCGAGTTAGGAATAAAAGAAGTATATATTGGTTTGAAATTTTGTTTAACTTCGATGCCATTACTATTAGTGTTCGAAAAAAAAGTTAATCAACGTGGCTGACGTTGCAGAGACGTAAATTAAGATTATTTTCTATAATGTATGCCCTTTCAAAAGTTTTTGAATGAGAATTACGCGTGATTATTAATACGCAAATATTTCGAAGAATTGGCGAACGAAAAAGCCGTACCGATTATATTTAACTTGCAAATAAGCGATAATGTTTCGTTTTTTTTTTTTTTTTTTTTTAATTTTTGAACCGTGTCCGGTGTACGCCCGTTAAAATAATATTTTTGACACGGAACAAATTCTTTTTTATTTTAATTTGCACGCCGGTCGTAGTAATATACATTTCGAGCGGGTAATAACACATGATAATTTATATGTTTATTGTTCATTGTTCTCGAAATAGAGATTTTATTGTTCTCGAAACGAGACGCAGTTCCTGTTGGACGTCGCGACGCGATTCCGTGTTAGCTCACCTTTAACGCGTCTACCTGGCCGAGTTAGGAGACGAATCGTTAGGTTAGTGAACCCGTTGGCATTATTATTGCAACCGGATCCAACCTTCCATTAAACAACGAGGCAACGACGCGACGTGTTGTTCCACAACGAACTGTCCAGCGCGTTCAAATCACGTTCCCTTTAGCGAAACAACGATCGACGTTCTCATTTACAGTTCGGATTATGGGCTCTGATTAATTCTATAGGCGCGACGCGATTAGAATCCGTCCTACGGCGATATCTTCACCATTCAAATTATTGAAATTATTATTTTTCTTTTTCCTCTTTTTCATTAATTTTTCCCCCATTCCTTTATTATTGTTGCAACGTGAAAAAGTTTCTAAAAAGGAAAGAAAGTCGATCGATGTGAAAATTTTCGCATCATTTCATTTTTTTTTTTATTCTAAGCAATACACTTTTGGAAAAATATTAATTTCTACGATATCTTTTGTCTAACTCTATCCTTGTAATTTGATTTATTTATTAATATTTATGAAGGATAGTTTGTAAATTTTATTGAATCGGTTATCTTTTTTTTTCATATTCGTTTTGTATTATTTCTTTCCTATCTTTCTTCTTTCCTCTCTGTTCGCGTAAATATTCATCGGAGGAAACGATAATATTTTTCCAATCTGTATCATTTTTTTTGTAAGAATATTTTTATACCGCACTAAGTTTTCGCTTTTTTTGCATTTCAGGTACGTAAGGCGGAGCGATTCCCTTTTTACTCATCTCGCCTATCGGTAAGTCCATTTTTACAATGACGCCGGCGTAGTTAATCTAACGAGCCTGGCGCGTTCCGATACTTTCAGCGAAAGAGGTGCTCAAGGCGTGAGAAACACTCAAGTCGAATCAAATTGAATGGGAACTTTACCGTTCCCATCGCGTTGCTCGAACAATTTTAGTTCCTCTCTCTAGCCGCGGATTCCGCCGCCACTCGTCCTCCTTTTTTGCACCGTTTCAAATTGAAACCCGCCTTTCCTCTTTCGCTAAAATAATAATAATAATAATAAGAATAATAGTACGCATCTATTACGTTCGAATCAAAATTCAATTCATTCCTTTCTCGATCTTAAAAAGGTTTCCACTGCTTTCTCGTGGCTATAATGATACTACTCTTACTCAGGAGTATAAATTGCCTCTGAGAATTATAGAAAATAGTGAAATATTTCCTCGTACTTTCTTCGCAAGAACAGGATTTTACAAAGGAAGAAGAATATTTTTATCGATTTATTTTGAAATTAAAGAGAGAAAGGTCGATCGAAAAGATTCATTTTCACGCGTGAATTTGGCAAATTTCGGAATCGAAAAAAAGTGTATCGAAGTAGATCCAAAATTTACACTGTTCTACTTAATATTTTTTAAAAGTATATCGAAATATTTAAAATTCCGCGCATCTTCAAACAGAACCTAATCGAGTCTATTTGACGAAACAAGTTACGATATTTTAACCATAGAGGGCAATACGATAAGTATCGATCTGTATCAAACCCTTTTCTTTTTTTTTTTTTACATTAAATACGTATAATAATAATTGAAATCAAAAAATAGATCTGATCTCGCCCCTGAAAATTCTCAAAAATTCTCGAAAACAAGAAGAAAGAAAGAAAGAAAGAAAGAGAAGAATTGATCTCAAAATGAAACCAATAAACCGTCGAAAACATATTCCATATAATTTCCAGTTGTGGAAATTAATGCAGAATAAATGGAAGCTCTAAGAGAGCGGGAGGGGGAGAGAGGGGGATTGTTAAATGCAGGCTACGAGGCACCGTGTCGTATCACCTTTTAGCAAGACGAGGGATCGATGGTGCTCGAACGACAGGCGAGATATCGCACCTTTCAAACGTGCCCTCCCTCCTCGTCCCACCCCTCCCCCCTTCGGCATCCCTTTTGCCTCGCGGCAAAACCCACCTGTCCCTTCGTACCACC